CTTTCACTTGTATACTTGCCCTTCCCCCCTTCCCTCTCTGCTGACACACAGCTGTGTTATTTCCAGTCTGCTTCTACCGTTCTCACGGTCTTGTCGCTTGCAGAATTCTTATACTTTTTCTTCTACCCTGAAGATGGAGGCGATACGTTCCTCCGAAACGTCGGTTAACACCAATATATACACGGTGCCAAATCCCAGAAGACTGCTTTCTTCATAGTCACCGCCGTGAAAGCCTCAAAACTTACAAAGAAAAATTTAATTCAGATTATACAGGAAAGGAAGAAAACTTATTTTATTGAAAGGACCGAAATACAAAATTTTCCTTTTACTGATGTCTCTGTGATTCCCTGCTTTGGTAAGTTTCCATTTCTACTTCTATAAATTTTACCTTACTACAGCTTTCTTAAAAAAAATCCATTTTAAAAGTCAAAGATGATGTCTCTTTTACTGTAGAACTGACAAAGATGAGAACAAGTATAGGAAATTTTCACAAAATTCAGAGCACACAGTTGAGACTGTCAACATATATGAACTGAATAACCATTATTATAAAAGAGCACTGTGATGATGGCAGCTGGATTCTGATTTGGGGTAATGTTACTTGCATGGAAACAATGTGATGCTAAGCCTGCTGGACCCATGCATCCACTGTCACAAGAGTGCAACACCTGCCGAGGTGCAGCTGGTTATAAACGCCGCAGAAGGCTTTTGAAGTTTGTGTACAAATGACTTAAAGCAAATGGTTCAACTGATTAAAAAAAGAGTTCAGTGGTGTCTTCATACTCCGAGTTTCATGACTGGAGCTTAGTTAATTTGCTGTAAAATCCTCTTCAGTAAAGCACCACTTACTACCATTTACTGGCATGTAATTAAATTTATGATAAGTTATCATTTTCAAGTTCACCTAATAAATTATTAAAATGATAAAAGCAACATGCAATTTACATACTGGAAATAATTTTCCAATAGCATCTAGCAGGATCATTATACATTGACTACACACTACGACCATTGATTATACATTCTTGACAATAAAATGATTGCTGTTCGGTTTGTCCATATTCTTCTAACATAATATGGCTCATCTACAAAAACTCAATGTGGTTTGCAATCAAAATGCTTTATTTTTAATTATGCATGGGCTAATTCAAGTAAACAAGATGATCTTTAGATTAAATATTTAGTGCTTGGCTTTTATCTCTGTGCTTAAGTAGACAATTCTATCCCAGCTATTTGCTTTATATATATTATATATAGACACAAAGTTGTCAAGTTTTTACTTTAAATAGGAATGTGTTCCTTGCATTAGTCATTTTCAAATTATATGTGAAAGTAAAGGTTACCAGTGACATTATAAAATTTGAATTAATGCAAATTTAATTTTAAAAGCACAGCAAACCACTGATGTGGAATTTTTAGCTGTATGTGTAACTTGATACAGAAGACTTAATATTTTTATGACACAATACATATGACATTTATCAACTGTTCTTATGACAAAAGCTAATAGCCAGAATGTACAAGCAAAATATAATTAAAATTGATTCTGTATTTCGGCATCCCGTTGCAATTGTTCAACTTAACGTCCGCCAATATTGCAACACTCTTCCATTCACCAATCAATTTTTAGTTTAACATTATACACCTTGAGAGTAAATGTTTTGGCCCCAAACGGCCATCTTCAGGTGTCTTCATGTTACAATTATTTTATTAAATTGTGTTAAAACTGCCACACTGTCTTAGTTCATGTTAAAATCACACGCTGTAGTCCTCTTTTGAAGGTAAAACCAGATAGAATCCTTTAAAGTTTCTATTATACTGACGTTATTTTGGTGCATATTATTTCACCTCACACGGGGTGTTGTCCATTTTCATAAATGTATGTGTGTCCAGGGTGTTTTGTCTTGGCAGCTTGCCCCTCATGTTCGTAACCTACTTTTCAGTTATGACTGCCATATGCCCCTGGATTGCTTGTTTCCTCCACAGAGAGTGATGTTATCTTTACTAGTACAGACAACACCACACACTGTGGAGGAAACTAGTAAAGACAACACCATATGCTGTGGAGGAAACAAGCGAACCAGGGGCATATGGCAGTCATAACTGAAAAGTAGGTTACGAACATGAGGGACAAGCTGCCAAGACAAAACACCCTGGACACACATACATTTATGAAAATGGACAACACCCCGTGTGAGGTGAAATAATATGCACCAAAATAACGTCAGTATAATAGAAACTTTAAAGGATTCTATCTGGTTTTACCTTGGAAGAGAGGACTACAGTGTGTGATTTTAACACAAACTAAGACAGTGTGGCAGATTTAACACAATTTAATAAAATAATTGTAGCATATCAAGACACCTGAAGATGGCAGTTTGGGGCCAAAACATGTAATATCAAGGTGTATAAGGTTAGACTAAAAATTGAGTGGTGAATGGAAGAGTGTTACAATATTGACAGACGATAATTAATAGCTACATATAACTGCTTCTTACATACAGACAAAATTCATACCTCAAGTTCCACAGAATACACCATTACATAGGCCTGAATGAAACATACAGAAGATAGTAAAATGTAAGCAACCTTATGTGCACAACTGAAATATTAAAAACAAATATCACACAAACAGCTACACCTCAAATTGCAATGAAAGAAGGAATACTGAACACTGCAGTTCGAATTTAAACTACCCTAATTCTATCCTTTAAACGCCGGACTTCGAAATAGTGGTAAGCTTGAGCTGGCCGGAGTTTATTTAAATGTCCGCTGCTGGTGCGCGTTTAAATGCCCGTTGCTACGCTGCGTTTAAATGTCCGTTCCTGTTAGGCGCTTAATCAATTTTAAGCGTTGTGTTTAAAAATGCTCTATCTAGCTCAATTTTTATGATAAATGGATGGAAATAACTTTGTTTATTTCAGAAAAGAACATAGTGTCGCATATTATAAAGGAAGATTTGAAATTTTTAATACAAAGTGTTGTACTCTATTTTCAATTTTTTGTGTTTTAATTTTGATGCGTACTGCAAAAATGGTTTCCCAGTTCTTCACAGAGTTGTTCTGCATTATAACTTCATTTCTGTTTGTAACACTTGACAAATTTTAGCAGTCTCTGGTGTCATAAAACAGATGGAAGCAATAAAATCATTTGGTCTTCTGCTAGCGCTGCTTACACCCTTCGGATTTTCGAATACTTGACTGAAGGTCAGAAGAATGAAAGAATGGCTATTCAAGAGAAAGCTATAGGGGTCCCCTCTTCAGTGCTAAGATGTTCCGTTAGGGCTGCAAAAGCTTATTGCCCCTTCTATTTGAATGAACAGACAGCTGCATCGTGGCTGAGATACAGAGCGTGATCTCTTTTGTGTGCGTTCGTAGTGAAATCGAATACTGTAGTTTCATTTGAACCTATATATACATCAAGAAGGTAACAACAAAAAAGGTATGTACATCGAATTTTACACTATATTTTTAACATACCTATCTGCAGAATCTGCAACAAAATTACTGGATTGTGGATAAGTTTTGGCATAACTCATACGTATATTTTTATTTGCTGTTGTTCAGTAAGGTATTATTTTAATTCCTCTATTAGGGTTTTACTTAAGTCGGTCTGGTAATTACTACATTTAAAAATAAATATTCAGGACTGTGCATGCGCTTCTACTAGCGGCGTGTGCGCGCGCTTCCACTAGCGGAGTTTAAATGCCTGACTGGCCACAACTGGGTACTTTGGCCACGACGACCTTACTCATGACTGGCACAAACTGGGCACTTCGGCACTTAAAGGCTATATATCTCCAGACTCCTGAATATGCAAACTTATAAGATAAAAAGAAACAGAAACCAGCTCCATAAAGGCAAGACCATTTTTAATCAAAACAGTATCAGAGAATAATCATGTCTAATGTAATATTTATTATCTTAGACCTATAAGGTCACTATCATTAAAACAAATAATGAACCAAAGCAAGCACTTTTTGATTATTTTAATAACAATTTAGGCTTAATACAATTAATGTAACAATTTGCTTTCACTTATGGAATCAAGTAAACAGATATTTATCCTTGTTCCAACAACTTATTAATATTGTGACATGTGACCCCTACCTCCCCGGCGGTAACGTAGCGCTTGCGTAATAGGCGAGTGATCACCCCACCACTCTCCCCGCGGTGACGTCACCAAGGGATATCGCGGTCGCTAGGCAACGCAAGTCAACAGCGGTGACGTCACCAAGTAGTAACAGCGGTTACTTCCGCTAGCGTTACTAGCAACACAGCGCCCGGCAACAAGGGTGCATATTACGTGGCCGGATTCTGTGTTGTCCGATCGAAGCTACATAAGGAGCAGCGAAGGCTATTCACAGTCAGTTGTACTGTGACAGTCGCCGAGTGTGTTATCAACAGTTCTCAAGGCAGCGTCGTGGAATCTAGCCAGCGGCGTGTTACGAGTGAAAGTGTGTAATTCAGGGAGACTTGTATAGCTCCCGCGTTATTAGTACGTGAAGACAAGTGAAGACTGTGTTAAGAGATTTTGTTGTAGGGTTTGTAAACTGTGGAAACCCGTAACGTTGTGATAATTAAGTGTAGCCAATAGTTGTAGATTGTTAAATAAACCAATTAACCATCTCTACGGCGTATTCTGTAACGAAACACATTACAATATAAATTTCTTTTAAAATTTGTTGTCTGTTACATGTAAGCAAATGTACATCTTATAAAATATATACTTTTATATTACTCTTCAAAGCTCAGCTTCTATCAGTCCAATTATTCTGCTGCCTCTTCAGTGTTGGAAGGTAATACGAATGGTATTTACATGCTAAAGGAATTATTGCCCACACAGGTACTCCAGCTTCACTCCTGTTTATATTACCAAATAAGCAAAAACGCCCACTTTTTGCCTAGGGCTTTCTTGAAGTGAACTTTACTGAAATAGTGAAATTGTTTATTCATTATGATAAACTTATAAATATACGTGTACACTCCTGTTGACAACTGTTCTACTGTTTGCCACCATGACAATGCTGAATGGATCAATTTATGCATTAAATGGCTGCCAAGCATTTAAACAGCAGCTGACATAAATAACACACATATATATATATATATTCATTAGTCAGTTCCTACCACCAAAACAGCAGCAGAAAGACATCTCTTCTGCACTACAAAACTACTTACAGGCACCTAGCAACCAGATTATAGACGGAGAAATGGGGAAGACTGGATAAAAAGGTTTTATATATATATGATTATTAGCTCTAGAAATATAACACAAAGCACAGAGGAGGAATAGAAAAGGTTTTATAGTAAGAACAGTGTCTCAATTTAAATAAAATGAAACAATTAGAGGAGGAGGAGGATAATTTTTACAAACAATGTTTCTTCCTGAAACTGGATTCATTACACAAAAGTGTGACTTTTCTGATGCTTGATACTAACCTCAGAAAGCATTCATCTGTAACAATCATCTTCAATGAAACATAAATCCTATGCATCCTGCTCATACAACAAAAAATCAAACTGAATGCCTTAAGTGACCTGGGCAACAAAGACCTTTAACACACAACTGCTCATAAATAATCAATCACACATCATATAAATCGCAATTAACCAAAGACAACCACTTTTTTTTTTAACTGTAATGCCTCATGTAATGGCATACAGTGTTTATTGTCTTGTTTCAGTTTCTGTCAATCAGAGAAACATGTCACATTTTACACCCCCATTTATTTTGTCTTGGTAAACACATACTTATTCTCATGATCCTGTACAGTCTAAACTAACACCCCACTTCTCCACTGGGGTGTTACCTGTTTTCTGAATCCATGACCACTTGCTTAAATACTCCTGCTGGCATTTGACTCTTCACCTCATGGCTGCCCAGTGCAGTTGTACCATCCGTTGCAATAAAAAGCTGCAGGCCTGATGCTGAAAATCAACATAAAAATTACATTTAAAACAGACTGCAAGCACAAGAATAATTTTGTTTATGAATAAAGCAATCACACATTTTTTTAGAACTTCTATTCAAGGAAATGGCTTCCATAAATTCATGTCTAGGATGATATAAACAAGTGCCCCTTTCCCTGGTCAATTCTGGCTAGTAAAGATGACGGGAACAAGAGCACAATTAAATACTGAACCTCATTACTGATCTTCATTTTGTCCCACAATTCGTTATTTCTAGCTCTTCACCAACATTTACTTATTGTTCCCTCACACTAATGTCACCCACATCTGAAAAATTTCTCATTCACTCATTTACTCAAAATCTTTTTGTTTCTGTACAACCAGGGCAAAAGTAAAACCATGCAAATACATGCACAGTGAGTTAAAGAAGATATACTTACACTCTTGTAGTTCAGGGATTCTCAGATTGTGGTCTACATAGAGCATTAGGCCTTTGGAAGTTCCTCATTACATTGGTGGGAATTTTACAGCTAACCAACTTATTAAGGTAAAAAGCTAAAGTTATCACTGGGTTTAATTAATTAATTAATTAATTAAGTGCCATACCAAGAAGATGTGGGGGAGTAGAGGTACAGCTCCACCATTCTTAACCTCGGCACTAGATGGAGGTGAGTGGTCAGCTTCACACACCTGCAGCTTCTTCCCCTGGGGAAAGACTCCCTGATAACCACAGTATAGGAGGGTGCGTGGGCCCCAAAGCTGATCTGGATGTTATGGGAATGAGAAAAAAATCTTGCCTCTACTGAGAAACAAACCCCAACTCCTCAGTTGTCCAGCCCATAACCTAGTTGCTGCGCTGACTGAGCTGTCCTAACTTCCAACAAGCTGAATATTACTTAGGTTATTTTGTGGTGCTGTTGTTTATACAGATGAGTATAAATGGTGAGCATGAGAGGATCTGAAAGGAGATTGTCACGAGTTGTTTGAAAGTACATTACCTGCAAGCACAGGGGAGACTGAAAGAGACATCACTTCAGTTAGCCAGTAGCCCATCAAAGATTAGAACCAGGTACCTCCCAAATACAAGTCCAGACTGTTACTGCTATAAAAACTGACTCAGTAATTATATTGCTAAGAATTCTTAGAATAATGAGTGTAGGACTGCTATTCATACCATCACCCCACGTTTCATTTATAATCACCGTATAATAGCACAGCATAATTACTGAACAAAAGCAAGGAAGACTGAATGCTCAGCAGAGCATAGCATTTCTGAATGGTCAGTTCATTCTGAAACATGAAGGGATCAGACATATTTGATGCTGTATTTTACTTCAGAACTTTGGCTGATGGAATAGAGTTTGATTCTCAGGAAGAATAGAGATTTTGGTCTTTACCATCATGTCTTCACCAGCTGTGGGGCCCAGGCAGCTTCCTATACAATGGGAAATAATAGGGGTTCTTTCCTGAGTGGTTAAGCAGGCACAGCATAAGAAGGATCACTCATCTCCATCTAATCTCAAAGTCAAGAATGAGTGAAGTATTACTTCCACTCCCTTCCTTCAATTTCTTCATGATATGGAGTTTAAGCGCAAGGACACTTTCCCATTATCATAACTACATTGTGACAATATGAAGTAGTAACTGAAACAGATCTTACAATTACTGCTTTTCCATGAACTGATCAGTGATATGAGCTACTAAAATAAAGCACAAGAAACAAAGATGATAATGTAAGGATAATATTAAGATGATCAGAGAAATGCCAATAAGTTGTAGGTAAGTAAAAATAGGAAAGCTATCCTTGTAACAGGCCGTGAAGGCCCATAGGGTTGTGAGACATTGAGGTTCCCACATTACCTTGACAATCGGCTCAAAGATGGCAGTAAGGTTATCAGCCTTACGTGCCTGCCGCACTTTACTCCCCAGGAAAATTATTTAATTAATTCCTGGTACTCATTTCTGTTAGAGGCTGAGTAAACCCCAGGGCCTAGTGCGGTCGGAAGGTCAATTGAAAAAAAAAATCCAATGACCTCATCGGGACTTGAACCCGCGACCTTCCAGCTTGCAGCATAGTGCCTTAATCACTATGCTACGGCGTCCCCTGCCAGTAAGTTGTGGCAATCAGAAATGGGTGGAACTGGCTCAGTATCATGTCCAACATAATGTTTTGGTATTAACATACTGAACTTCATATCCTACAGTCAGAAATCAGGCAAGTTTTGAGAGAGGGGTCAATTTTAAAAAATATGGCATAACATAATACTTTTGTTTCAGCTTTGGTTATTAACAAAACTTTATTATTAAACAATAAAGGCACAGATGTGCTTCTGGGGTCACTGTGAGAACTGTTATACTGAACGACAGAAAACTATGCCCAAGATGTGTATATATGTACAATGCAGCTTTCATGTCATTATTCTCTTGACATTAAAGCAATTAAGTAAACTAACAAATCCACCATCTTTCCAGGATGACGTTAAGCTACTGGTACCTGATTCATCTTGTGGTTCTAAATTGGTGGATCTCAAGATTTCATCAGTGAGGCTGTCTGGGTTCACTCTTGTCACTTCAACACGTGCCTGTGGTGCCCCCTCTTCAGATGCTTTCTTGCGTCTCTCCAGAGCTGCCTTTGCTTGGTCAAGTGACCCAGTCTCACTTAATCCTGATCAAGAACTTGGATTTCTAGAACAATAAACACGAATCTGTAACAACTAAACACCGTGAATACTAGCCACACCTATTAATAGTGCTGCTCATTTCACAACTGTACAAATTATAGTAGCGTCCATACAACACAAAGAAACTAAATGCTTCTTCTTTACCTTCATCAAGGTCATAAAATCACCATTCTGCTAACATACAATGCAATACTTCCAAGCACTTCCAGAATAGTCCCAGATTAAGCCATATTTTCTGCTGCTTCAATAATTTGGGATAGGGAAAATGTAAGGAAAGCATGCATGATCATTCGCAAGTCATCTCAATTTACTGTTTCTATTTTATGTTATTTAATGAGACTTCATCTCTTTAAGTAACAACTAATAAATTGGATGAAAATGAGATATATTAGATATACTGCAACAAAAACATCAGTACAATTTAACTACACACTGCAACAGTTTCTAGTTTAAAACTGTTTCAACTAACTACTTTTTGAAGTAGAGACCTTCTTCAGAAGTCGACAATTATCCAACTAAAATTTTGGATGCACTTGACACTCTCATGCATATTACATGCCCCAATCGTCTAATTCTCTATGATTTCATCTCCTTAATAATATTTAGCAAAGAGCATAAATTATAGAACTCCTCAATATGCAACACTTTCCCCCCACTTATTATTTCCTCTCTTTTAGGGTTCATTTTACTCAACATTTCGTTCTTAAACACCCAGAGTGTTCTAGAATGGAAATATGAAAACAAGGGATCATGGTATGATTACTTCTTTTACGTTTTACTTTCCCTAACAGAAGCCTATACTGACACCTGCAAGGCTGTGTGTTCACATTACCTCAGGCTCAGATGGTGCCGGATATTAAATACACCTATTTCAGTGCAGAGTACATCATCCTAACAGAATGTCATGTCTCTTCAGATAAGAAAATTAAATAATTCCATAAAGTAGAGCTCTTCTGTCTTACTTCACCACTTGTATGAATATCTGGTAGCTTCCTGAATTTACTTTTTTATCTATGCACAATACTATGGCAGTCTGAAAGCCAAAAACCACACCATCCTAATTCAAATTCAGTCGTGTGTGTATGAAAAGCTTAAAGATGTTTTTGTTCTCATTACTTGTTTCATTTACTTAGCATCTTTTTAAATATTCCACCTTTGACTGCTTAATGCCTGTTTGGTTTCACAAGTTAAATCATTTCCATTTACTCCATTGTAAACCACCTCCAGTGAAGAGTATTATTTTAGTTTCGAAAACCATGCTGAGTATGATTTATTTTGCAAATGTGTCTATCCTAGAATTTTTCTGTTAAAAATATTACATCACAGATAATTTTCAAGGCATTATTATTAATTTCACTATATTCTGCATACTTTTTATAAACTATCCAAAATCACAAACCTTGTAGTTTTCTGTTTAGCTTCATACTCTTCATAATTTGTACATTACTCTGTTGTTTAACACTATATTCCTCCAATTCAACTATGTATATGTACATTGCCTGAAATATTATTCCTTTATTTTGCAATAACTAAATTCACAACATTGAACTTTATTGGGGCAAAGAGGTGTTAACCTTATGCACAATCCCAAAGCTAGAGAATAAGCTTTTCAGCTGTCTGTGACTGCTTGCTGAACATGCTTCTTGAATGTGGGCACATGCATGCTGTAAACTTTTTAACGTGTATTTTGTGAGCTTAAATGTGGCCATGATGAGAAAAATACATATAGCTTCCTCTTAATGTTACTTCCAGCATACAAGTCTGTTACTGGAAATTAGACTACAAAAGTTTAAAATACTGGCAACTACAGATATTGCACTTAGAAAAAAATGTGTTGCAATGATGTAAATATATTGTGACATGTTGAACCCTACCTCCCCAGCGGTACGTGGCGGTAACGTAAGGCTCGCGTTACTACGGTAATAGGCGAGTTCCCGCCCCGCCACTCCCCTCCGCGGTGACGTCACCGAGGGAT